TTGCGTCCCCCTTGGCTGGACACCTCGGCTACATGAAGACTCGGGAACGCCTCAGACGAACTGCCTACTGGTTAGACTGGCAACAGGATTGCAAAGACAAGGTCTCGAAATGTCTGGACTGCAATCGCGCCAAAGGCGGTGGTCCATGGAAACAAGGTCCGATGCAACGGATGCCAGTATACTCCTTGCGCGGACCATTCGCCTTTGCCTGACCCAAGACCACCACAAACTCACCTGCATGTTGGGGTCTGTCGAGTTCTGCCTCGCTACCCAGACGGGTTGTTCGTAAATACTTGCTGGAAATTGCACAAAGGGAAAGGACTGCCACGCGTCGCCGCCAGGCCCGAGTTCGCCTCGTCGTACATGGGACCCACCCAACCTGGAGCCTTCTTGAGTCGCATCTGTGCTGAGAAGAAGTCCCAAGCCCACGTCTCGTGCATCGCAGCTGGCAACGCTGGGGACGAACGTGTAGGCCTGAAAACGTGGCAGTAGTCCCCCACAATACCGAACCCACGTAAAGTCGATATCCTTTCCAAATGTATAACATTCCAAAAGACTCATACATCCGTTTATAGAGTTTTTTTCAAATTTTGAAATAGTCCACAACACATGATAAACAAGTATTTGGTACTCAAATTATGCCGTCGCCACAGCCGTCGACGCTACGGCTGACAAACGAACAAAAATCAACGAGTCCAATCCAACGCTACGAGGCCTCCGCCTGCGCCAATGGGCGCTCGCGGCTTTCCAGCTGCCCAAACTACCTGCCAAGTCAACTATGTCGGGGTGGCTTACCGCATACTGCATACTGGTACTTGACGAAGAAGTATATGAATTGACTAATAGTTTTAATAACTTGTAATGTGATGTGTTGAGTGGGTTTTGACTTCTGGAGGTTGCCAGGGTATCAACCCTCCTGAATTCGAATATGTTGTCCATTTTCCAATCAGGGCACTTTCTTTGTCGTGGTTTGACAAAACATATGGATTATTCTGACCAATCAGAGACTTGGTACCCAAGCAAATATCCTGTAGCATTTTATACCTCTTATTCCTGTGATACCTCTAATATCGGATTGCGATCAAAGGTTCGCTATTGTGGGGGACTACTGTAGACGCATGCCTCCCGAAAACGCGACGATGTCGGGCCATCGGCTCGTCCCATGCGTCTCGATGTATCGTACGGTCTCCTCTTCACCCAGGCTGGTCTGCATCGACGCCAGACTGTACGGCTCTTGCGTGATCTCGGCCCAATACGGGTGGACATTGTGAAACAGAAAGTGGAACACCGACGTCCCGGCGAACTTATGCAGCTCAGACACCAGCCTTACCCACTCGTTCTTGGCCTTCTCTTGTTTGTGTTTGGGATCGTTGGACGAAGCATGGACCTAGCCACTCGCATCACCACAACTACCGAAGGATGACTGACGTACATGATATCCCTCCTCGGCAGTACCACATCCGATCCAGAAATACCGGTTCCAAATAACCTCGCCGTGCTTCTCCCAAAACCGGCGTAGGCTGTAATTCCACGACCGCTCAGCCTCCGTCTGACCTGGCACGAACGAGACAAAGTTCTCCACCCATTGCTCCCACGGTTTCCGATCACGCGCTGCGATGTAAGCCTTCTTCACGAGTTCACATTCCTGCCACATAAGTTTTGCTGAAAACCACAGAACCGACGCCACCTGTCAACTCATGTGGTGAGATAGAATCTCGAGTGCTGCGGCTGCGCATCAAGGTACTTAAAAAGGGAATTGTATTACATCTGAATTGTCAACTGATGTGGTGAGGTAGAATCTCGAGTGATGCGGCGCGCATCAAGGTACTTAAAAATGGAATTGTATTACATCTGAATTGTTGGCATACACTGCGTAGCCCGGGGTAATCAACAATCGGATGGTGGCAAGGGATACAGTAAAAGAAAAGTGCATACGATAGGAATGAACGTCCATGTCCATAACTGTTGTCGGCGAAATGATGGTCCTGCCGAAAGGCAGCTTCAACAACACCGTATATTTGATGTTGTTGAATTTTCCTCGAATACTGTGCTTTGATTGGCCAGTTTCCTTTTATATACAATTTGCAAGATGAGTTAAGCTGTACTATTAGCCGACCAGATAGAGAGTGAACTTAACCTCTAATTTACTTCTGAATTGACTTCGTTAGTGTCAAGCGTGTTTGTTCCAAGGCTGGAGCGACAACAATAACTCAGGCTGTAGCGTGAATCTGAGGCAGCACAATAGCTCGTTCAACTGGTCAGAGGTAGTTCTGTAATGTAATATATATGTGAAGTGTATGTGAGCCCCGGAAGTGCTCAAAATGAATGGCTCCAAGGGGCCACAAGAATTATGCCGATAACTCAGGCTGTAGGGTGAATATGTGGCAGCACAATGGCTCGTTGCGCTGGCCAGAGGCAGTT